GCATTAAAACCTATTTTTACACTTTCATAATGTGTTTTTTACCTCAGTTTTGGGGTTAACTATTTGCCCATAGCTGGGACTCTAACAGGTGCTACCACCCTGGGTCAGGGTGGACCTGGGAACACCAGCAATTAAAAGGTGGTTCCACACTCCTCAAAGCCTCTTGATCAGAGGCCTTGCTGTAAGATATAGTTTATCGTCTTGCCCTTGACGTGGATGTAGTTTATCGTCATACCCAGGACCGGAAATAGAGATTAGAGAGAGAAAGAGAGACACATAGACCTAAATAGGGATCGTATGTTCATTTAATAGACAACCACTACCATCGTCATTGTATAGAAAAATGAAGAAGATTGTGTTGTGCCAGTTTCCCAACTGGTGATTGATTGCCTGCCCGGCTGAAGCTAACAATACAAAGGATAAACTTAAAAATCTAGAACAAGGGTAAAACTGGTAACTACCCCAGCAATAAACAAAACAGATGTTTGGATTGATCTACACAATAAGGTTATCATTTTAGCATGCTGTAAGAAATAAATACAATACCAATAGCTTGTGTGTATTCACTGTTTTCTCATCACCATTTCATTCCCTTTGATTTTATTTTTTATGTCATCTTCTTTTTTCATGGAAGCTGTGAAGTCAGCGTAATGAAAAAATATATATATATATATATATATATATATATATATATATATATATATATATATATATTTTATATATATAAAATATTTTTTAGGTACAAAATTTAATGAGCTTAAATAAAAGTATAAAATTTAATATTACAAGACATATTAAAACAATATTAAATAATAAAAAAAAACTCAACAACAAGGCGGGGGAAGCAACCGGTTTCGCTCCCGCTCGTCAGGCTTCCACGGGAGATTCAATATTAAAACAGAAAAATGTACAATAAGGTGGAAAAAAAAAAAAAAAAAATTACGATATATATATATATATATATATATATATGTTTGTATATGCAAGAAGGAACTAGAGGCAGATGACAGCGAGTCCCAGCAAACACTCACGTTGTTTGCACAAAGAAGGCTTGCGGGACCCTATGTAAAGTGCCTCCAGAACCTTCAGATGAAATACAGAGTGTGACCGGGCCAACACGGTGAACCAGTCGACACTAAATTTGGCGGCACAATCTCTGCTATTTAAAAGATGTTCGCATATGGCGGAACTGTAGTTGTTGGGACGAGTCCACTCGAAAGCCAGGTGTGGTTTCTAATTTTAGTAGGAAAGGTGCTGCTTTATTCTAGTGTCTAAGCACTGAGTTGTTCTCCCTATGTAGTTGGCTCCGCAACTACAAACGTATTTGTAAATATGGTGGGGAGGGAGAACGTCTTTACATGCAGATCGAAACATAGGCCGAGTTTGAAAAATAATCCGAACTTCAGCAGAGAAAAAGCAGCAGCGAACCTTTGATGAAATTTGTTTGGCCATTTTTTCACACTTTGTACCAATCCAGGGTAATCTAAGGTAAACAGGGCATTTTTTGACCGTGTAGAGATCGGCACTTCTGAACTCTTCAACTTTACTCCGGATAACTGAATTAACAGTATCAAGAGGATAACCCAAATTACATAGTTAAAGTTAATTTTGTTGTTTAGGAAAGGCTCAGAGCAAATCTTTAATGCTCTGTGGAGGAGGGTTTTGATAATGTTGATCTTGCGCTTTAGTGGGACAAAAAGAGTCCCAACAACGTGTATAACCCTGCAAAAGTAGGTTTTCTATAAACGGAAGTAAGAAAACCTGTTACCGTACGATGTACTAATACATCTAAAAAAGCCAATTGATGATTAGACTCTTTTTCGATAGTGAACCTTAGTGCCGGATGGATGCCATTTAAAAACGAAAGAAACTGGTCAGCCTCAACTTCACCGTTAAATAAACAAAAGGTGTCGTCAACATACCGATAGTACAGTTGAGGACAAAGTGGATTTTTCGTATCTTTTCTTCCTGGAAGCCAACAAATATGTTAGCAAGTGCGGACCCAAAAGGCGAGCCCATAGCGACCCGTCGATCTGTCGGTACATAGTATTGTTGAAACTGAATTCAACGGAGGACATTGCAAATCTCATCAATTCGAAAAATTGACTCAGGAAAACTAGGTGGAGTTAATGAACTGCGATAGAGATAGTCGCAACAAATATCGATGGTTTCCATCAAAGGGTCACAAGTATACAAGGAAGAAACATCGAAAAGAGCACATAAACTTACGGAAGAAGACAATTTTACATGCGCGGTCAACAAAGGAAAAGGAATCCTTGATACAAAAACCATCCAGGCACTGCAACACAGGATCCAAAAGTGTGGAGAACCATTGGGCTATCTTGTGTTGGGCTGACCCGATCATGGACAAAATCGGTCGCAACGGTACACCCTCCTTATGGATTTTCGGGAGACCATATAATCGGGGACGAATCGAACCGGAAGGATGGATTTCGTTGGCAATTTCCTTTGAGAGTAACCCTGATTTTACCCACTTTAAAAGTGATTTTTGAAATTTCGCTTCACATGAGGAGGTTCCATCACAGGTGTCAGCAGAACCATGTCTAGTAAATTTTGAAGTGTCTTCTAAGATAGAAGACATTTTGGTTATATAGTCTGCTCGATCCAAAATAACTACACCAGCACCTTTATCAGGTCTGGAAATAATCAAGTTATAATTATTCCTAAGAGCGTTAACAACACACTGATGTTCTGATTTCCATTTGGATTCAGCAGTTGCGACAGAGGAGCAGGAAAAGGTGTGAGCGAAATTGTTCAACTGGGCTTTCAAATTAGTAAATGGCGTCGACAGAGGTGGGAGAGAGTCTGCCAATATATATATATATATATATATATATATATATATATATATATATATATATATATATATAATTCTAGTAGTTTTTATACTTTTAAACTAATTGCCTCTGGGAGTGGTAGGGGGACATGAACCTACCTTTCCTTGTATTCTGTTTACTCTCCATTATGTCTTGACAAAACTTCTGATACTAGCATACTATTATAAGTGATAGAACAGTACACTTCGATCTTGTCGTACTTAGTTGCTACTGCTATCATGTAAGCCACCATTACTTGTTTCGTATGATTTGGAGAGGAGATGGTCATTGCCAAGTCATCCTCTTCACCATGGCATACGCCTTGACAATTGAGATCATTAAGCCAATCAACCTACTAATGACATTGAGAAGATTTTAGTAAAATTTCTTTAAAATTTAAAAAATTTTTAGCAACAAATTACCTTTTTGAGCAAGCAATTTTTGTTTGTTTTTAATCTGTAAAAGTCTTTCACCTGTTCTACAAATTATTTGACAATGTCCTTCTCCTCTCCTTGACTCACTTTTTGTTTTTTTTGTGATAAAGTTTATTAGGCTTTGAAATTTGGACAGTTTATCTGTTATTTTTATCCCAATAGATGACACCTTATTTGAAAAATGCCAAAAAAAAAAAATTTAGACAGTAATTGCTGGTTGTATTTACTAAAACTTGTTCTTGTGTTTGGATGAATATTTGCTGCCTAGTTTTTCAAATTGTCACATTACAATTTTGTGTGTGAATATATATATATATATATATATATATATATATATATACACACACCCTGAGCTTGATTTGAGAAAAAAAATTCCCTAATGCATCAGAATAAATGGTGCCAAAATCTGCTCAATGACACCAGAACAATTTAACAAAGGATAATAATGTAAAAGGTAAAAAAAAAAGTGCTTGACAGTTGGATGTTTTGGGAATCCCCCTTCCCTCCCATGAAATTGCTGTGATTTTTTGGGGGCTATTTGATTTTTAGCTCTATGGGGCATCCCCCTCTGGTCAGTTTAGTTGTTGAGTACACATTCACCATCATTGTAACGACTCTAGTTAACTGAGGGGGTGGGGCATAGAAATGTCTATTACACTGAACCAGCCACCTGATAACGTAATGCAAGAAACTGAGAGATGTGATTAGTTGAATGTATGCCAAATTTTTATGATTTTTTATATATATATATATATATATTTATTTTTATTTATTTTTTTTTTTTTTTTTTTTTTTTTTTTTTTTAGTGAATGATAAATATTTTCATAGGATTTTTTTAATTTTTTTGTTGACTTTTATAAATTGTTGTTTATCCTTCAACATTTCCATTTTGAAAGAAACTTGCTTGAAGAGAGACTTGTCTTGGCTCTGCACAAAGGGTTTCGAGACATTTTTAATCTTTCATTTATAAAATGTACAAATACTTTTTTTTTCCCCCCTCTCTTACCACTTAGATTTGTTTTTCACCTTTTTGTTTCCTTATTTTTGTTGCAATTCTGATGCCATTTGGGAAATCATTGCAGCTGACATAGATCTTCAAAGTGCAGATTTACTAAATTGTTTGGCTTGAATGAAACTTACTTGTCTTATGGATCTTTTTACTACCTTGAGGGTGCTGTTTGCCTTTTTTTTTTTTTTTTTTTTTTTTTTGTTTTTTTTTTTGTTTTCAGGAATTCTTTCTTCTTAATATTTTGATATTTTATTATTTTAATAGTTATGTTTAAAAAAAGAACTAGTTTTGGTAAACTTACATTTTGATTCAGACTAATTCCCTTGTGTGTGTGTGTGTCACTCTCAAATCATCTTTCGACTATTATGCTCTCTTTCCTTGCGTATGATATTTTTGGAATGCACTTTCTTTCTCTTGGTGTGAATTTGTGGAATGTTTGGGAAATTTTGTTATTTCTACTCTTCTTAAAAACCTGTTAACTGGTCAGTCATATTTCTGGAGATTCTCACTTTAACTAAACATAATTACTTTATCAATCTCTTGGATGAAAATGCGTCTTGTTGTTTACAGTTTTTTTGTTTTTTTTAAATTTACAATAGGACAGTCTTGTTCAGCAGAAAGAAAAAAAAATAAAGCAAAAACCTCTAAACAAATCATTGGAAGAAAATAAATGATGTGTGGTTCTGGTTTGTCTCTATGGTATTGTTTTGTCTTCTGTAGGTATCCTGCGAAAATAGTCACTGTTCGGGAAGAAGATTTAATGGTTCTGATTCACTTTGAAGGATGGAACCAACGCTATGATGAATGGGTGGAGATGAAAAGTGAACGTCTAAGACCAATGAGCCGGCACTCAGAACGAAAGGAAAAAAAAAAACTAATGACTGTAAGTAACTGTCCCTCTCCTTCTCTTCTGTATTTTTACCTTTTAACTCCTTCTAGATACATGAGATGGTCAAAGATCTTTGCTTGACCATTTTTTTTTTTTTTTTTTTTTAAGAAGTATTATTACATCATCTCATTTAGAAAGCCTACTGCAAGATATTTACATACAGACATAATTCATGCATGTATACACATGTCTAATATGTCCACCCATAAAAGATTAAATGTCAGATGTCTACTTATATTTTGGTAGACAATTAGAAAATTTACATATTTAAAATGTCAGGTGATTTTTGGATGGTACTAATAAAATATGTGTTTGTTTTGTAACGTCATACTGTTTTTAGCTTTCTTTACCCACATGTGATGAAATCGTTTAAATTGCGGAGCCTGTCATAGTACAGCTGAAGTATGGCTAGCCACAAATTACAAAACCTGATAAAGTGTAAACATGCAATCATATCATGGAGAACAATGTATTTTTTAAATAAATATCTGTTCTTTTTCTCTCCTTCAGTCACGGAAGGTTGGTGACCATGTATTGGCAAAATGGTCAGACTGCAAAATGTATCCAGCAAAAATATTATCAAACAAATTGCCAGGTAAATACATATTTCCAAATATGCATTGGATGGAAAACAAAATATATTGTTCTTGGATTTGCAACATAAGACAATTTCTTTTTTTAAATTTAAAAAAAAATTTTTTATTTGATGTGCAACTTTTAATTTGCTTCCATATTTTTTACTATAACTGAAGTTAAAATGCTTGCTTAGATTTATTTTGTATACATTTACATGCATTGAAAAAGTAAACATTTAGATGAAGGATATTTTCTCTTGAATTGGATTAAAGGGGTCCCTTGGAAAGGGAGAAAAACTATCTTGGTTTTCTCCGCTCTCCAAGGCCCATGTTAGGCATTAGTATATCTCTGATATGTTAACACATTAATGTGACAGTATGAAGGACATGAATAACTTGAAGTTAATTCCAAAAATGAAGTCTGCCTTGAAAACGCTTTATGTATAACACTGGAATATACAAATGTGAGATATTTGTCCCACACAGAGGAATTAAAAACATACATGAAAAAAGCAATCAGTATGTTAAAGGCTAAATAATAGGAGATCTTATTTATGATGTCCCTAGGAGCGACACACCCAACCTTGGTGATATGTTTTGCATTCTTTAGGGTAAATGGAATTTGCTTGTTTACCAAACCATCATTGCCTTTCATATCTGTCTCTCTGGAAGTCTAAGCAAGAACTGGTCCTTACTGTGATTGTCATGAGCAAGATATGCGATATCATGCCTGAAAATGCCCACGCATTGCATGCGTATGGTGTCGCAGAGCAGTTGGAGGAAGAGAGAATTGGTGGAGTGCGTCTATGCATATGTAAAACTCTCCTACTCAAACAATTGGCTGCTTCATCATGGTCTATAAAATGAGAGTGTCTGGAGGCTTTGGCAGTGGGAGGGCCGAGGGAGCCGACGACAAGAGCCGACTGCCCTGTACGGGAGATGACTGCCCTGTTCCAGTGGGTCCTTTTTGGCATTACGGCTACAATTACATAAGTTTTGTTTGTGATCTAACCACTTCTTTTTTATCATTTCACCCAAGTAAGGCAATAAAGTCACTAAGATGCAAGGGGTCAATGAATGTGAAAGAATATGAGAAAAAGAAAAACATTATTAAAGAGAGAACAATAAAAGAACAAGAATTAAGAAGACAAGATAACAATTGACATGGTATTTACATTTTTGAAGGTCAAGGTTAACAAGAAAGAAAGAAGCTGGAAGAGAGTTTAGTGAAGGTGGCTTATGTTCAGTGGAATAAATTTTGCTTCACCAAGATGTGTTGTCTAGTGCACTCGGTTTGTTGTACTTAACTCATGAACAATTCATGAGATATGGATGTTTGTTGGTCTGAATTCAATCAACTGTTTCCTCTATGTTGGATGATCCAGCTGATTTGAAGAAAATGATGCTGTTGGAAAGTTTTTAACAATTAGAGGAGAAATATAAAATCATATAGTGTCCTGGGTAAGACGATAAACTATATCCAACAGCAAGGCCTATGATCAAGAGGTTTTGAAGAGCATGGAACCACATCTTAATTGCTGGTGTTTCCAGGTCCACCCTGACCCAGGGCGGACTTGGGAACACCAGCAATTAAGGGTTCCAGTTATGGGCAAATAGTTGAAGCGGGACTAAAAACACTATAAAAGTGTAAAAATAGGTTTTAATATAGCAATATATTTTTGTAAAAAAAAAAATAAATATTACTAGCAATGAATTTTTTAAGGATAAAATTATTACCAGCAAAACTTTTTTTGAAGGAAAAATATTACCAGCAATATATTTTTTGAAAAATTATTACCAGAAATAAAAATCTTGTTAGCATTCAATAAACTCATTTAGGATGATACACTGCGAAGCAAACCAGACTAAAATCATGGAACTGCTTCATTTTTTCCTTTTTCCTTATCCTTTGAGGTACTGAAAGACCTCTTAACAGTGAATTACTTTTAGGAAGGGCTTTTTCTGATGCACAATGTTTGAATGGAGAATGAGGGCATCTCAAACTGTTGTGTGTCTACTCATTCATGTGCATTTGTATTCTGTTTATTATATAGACTCCTGTCTGGGAAATAGACAAGATTAATCAACATCTGAAAGAAAGAACCTTTTGTAACAAAACCAGGTAGCCAGCCACAAAGTGTTTTTCAGTTTTGGCTTGGATTTTTAAGTTACTAAAATTACATTGAAATCAATGCAAATACAATGAATAGGTTTCTAAATAAACAAAGCCTAAAGTGACCAACAAACTGTGGACTTTGGCAAATTCATTAGTCATATCATGCCAAGTCTCTTGGGATTATGGAATTGGGCTAGTGGTGTCAGTCATTATTGAATCTTAACTAAATCTAGAATAACCACTCTCCCATATTTTTCTCCTTGTAATATCTCTACTCTTTTGCTCAGAATGATCAGAATCACTCAACACTGAAAGTTACTAACAACTTTCATGTACCAGAATGACTCAACTGGGGCTACTGCCCTGTTTCAGCTGAAGCTGAGATGCCAGGTTAGGACCGATAACATTGCAGATTCTTCTTTGGATTTTATCAATCTCTAACCTCTAAAAACCTATTATAGTCACTCGTGTCTTAAGTAACACTCACAGCCCCTCTTATGTTAGTAAATTTGTCCTGTAAAAAGGGAAATAACCATTTTCTAAAGACCATATCAGCTAGTACTCAGACCACCTCAGGCATATGTTGCTGCTGGTATTCTTCATAAGACAATATACAAGAAAATGTTGGGCTACACTGGATTTGGAGTCATCCCTCAAAACTCCACCACACACACACAATTTAGAACCCTCTCAAAAAATATTTGCAAATTTTTTTATATTCTCATTTTGTGACGTCTTTTTTTATTTCTTTTAGTCTTTTTTTTTTTAATTATTTATATCATTTTTTTTTTTTTTTTTTTTTTTTAAATTTACTTTTTTTATTTTCTTTCTCAGCTGGATATGAAGTGCTTTTTTATGATGGCTTTAAGAAATTGGTTCAACCTTCAAATATCCAAACACTACCTCCAGATTTCAAGGTGAGGGTTGCAAAACTTCATCAGATAGACATCACTTGTTGTCCCTGTTGTCTTTGTTTATGAATATGAATTAAAGAAAAGTATCAAATTTGATTTCAAAATAAATTTTACAGTCTTTCCTTTGAAAAGAAAATAATTACCAACTCTACATATGCCCCCCCCCCAGACATGCCATAAACCAAAATATTTCTACCATCAGAATTCCTATTAAAAAGGCTTTTCTGTTTATAAATACTTCTTCAGTTTTACTACACTTGTCCATATTTTGTAGAGCATGAAATATTCAGGGATCTTTCTTGTTAACTCAACATGAAGATCTATCAAAGTTTAATTCTTTTGATCAAGAAGTCATTGTTAGGTATTAGTGAAATGTATTAATTAATTAGGATTAAAACAAATCCAGATTGTAAGGATTAAGCCCCCTTCTCTGTTGTTATTATTATTCTTATTCACTAGATGTGGTTTGCACAAGGTGATCCCAAGTAACAACCTAGCAAGCGCACAGCATGTATCTCTGACTGAAATTACTACTAACCTATAATTATTGAGAATGGACCTGTTAGTGATGTCCAATATTTCGCTAATTGGCAACTCTACGTAATACAAAGAATTGAGTATTATTATTATTATTTCTTATTGGTCAAAAAGCAGAGAAATGTCCTGGGTATGACAATAAACTTCATCTGGCAGCAAGGCCTCTGATGAGGAGGTTTTGTGGAGTGTGGAACCACCTATTAATTGCTGTTGTTCCCAGCTATGGGCAAATAGTTAACCCCCAAACTGGGGTCAAAACACTATGAAAGTATAAAAACAGATTTTTATAGTAAAAATATCAGCAATAGATTTGATTCTTGAGAAAAACCCTCTTAAAATTTTACAAAGATGTTTTGAGACAAATAGATTCAGAAATTCTTTAACAAATATCTTTAATTTCTAAAATGCATTATGAGAAGAGTGCAATGACCTGTAAAAATATATTTGTATAATAATTAAAAAATATGTTGTTTATTTGAGTCTCCTCAGGTAAAGAACCAGGACTAAAGATTTTGAAGCTTTCTTAAACAAGTATTATTTTCATATTTCCTGAAATAAATAAAAAACAAAAAACAAACGTGTGTGAAAATGTAACAGGAACACAAGACGTATGTTTGTTACTTGTCAGTGGCCAAAATTTGAAAGAATAGGTGTGTGTAGTGTGACATCTGCACAAATTTGAATCTGATCAAGATGGATAAACACAGGTAGATTTTGTCAGGTAACCACTAGCAATAAAGTTTAGATGTAGAAGAGTAAATAAAGAGAGAGAGTGAGTGATAAAGAGAGAGGATAGAGTGAAATGCAATAACATTTTTCATCAGATTGTTTATTGGTGGAGATTTGCTTTTGATCTCATGTTACTTGTAACAGGTATGGAATAAATATGATTCTAAATATGGAACTTGAATATTATCGAAAATATTTCTCTGGCTTATTATTTTATTTCTAAATTATTTTTTTGTTATATTCCGTGCTAAGGGAATAAATACTTAACACCAGGTGGATAATAGAAGAAAGGTTTATTGTACACAACAAGTACAATATGAAATATGGAACAGTTATACACACCGGTCAATCTAGTAGTGAGTGTCACTAATTGGAAGGTCAGACGTGGTTGTGTCGTCCCGCTCTCACTCTTCTCCGAGTCTCTCGTAGACAGTTGACTTTATAGGTACTTACTACCTATAGTTAAATCATTCATGGGGGTGACTGGTTATTCCATTACATCATTTTTATACTTGAGTATTTCTGTAAAAGTTGAAATTGACTGTAGGTATACTTGGGGGGATAGGGTCATTATTGGATGTCACTATCAGGACACTTAAATATTTTCTCAATAATTGTAAGTAATAATTTAAGACAAACATGTTTACCCCCATTCACAGGCATAGGCTGTGTTTGGCCTTTATTTGAAATAACCTTGGGTTTGTGCCTTTCAATGCAGATAGGTGAATTTGCACCAAATACTAGGTTCATTTAATTGCTGATGCTGGCGGGGTTGTATGCTGGTTTAAAGGAGAAAAATTTGCAACTATATTTGTCGTGTTAGAATATTGAAATACTGGATAATGGCATTTAGCTATTTGTTAATTGTGTTACATGTCTATTAATTATAACATTTGGTTGTATATAAAACTTTTTGTTTTTCTTTTTCTCTATAACCTTCCTGAAAAAGATCCTCTTGATTTTTATCTGTAAAGTTTAAGATATCTTGTAAGCTTGTTGACTACCACTACTTTTACCAGAGCTCAACTTCATATTGTAATGTTAAATGTAAAGAAGAGGGGCTTATTTGATGCCATCACATATGGTAAATTTTTAAATGGTGACCTTCATTTTTTTTTTTTCCCCACATGAAAATGTTTACATGCCATGACATTGGAAGAAAATTAGTGTCACTTAGTTAAATTGTGAAAAAAATTCATAGCTTTATTTACCATAAATTATAACCAGCTTTATTGATAACAAAGTTTATTTTCTCCATTTTACATGCGCATCCTGGGTAAGACGATAAACTACGTCCAACAGCAAGGCCTCTGATCTTAATTGCTGGTGTTTCCAGGTCTGCCCTGACCCGTGGTGGTAGCACCTGTTAGGGTCCCAGCTATGGGTAAATAGTTAACACCCAAAATTGTATAAACATAGGTTTTAATACCAGAAATACTTTGTAACAAAAAAAGATTATTACCTGCAATAATTTTTGAAGGAAGAATTATTATCAGCAATACTTTAAAAAAAAAAAAAAAATACCAGCAATACAAACAGTTATACAATCCTTCAAGAAAAAATATTCCCAAAAATAAGTTTTTGACGAAAAACATTACCAGCAATAAAAATTTTATTGGCATTAAATAACCCATTGTGGTTGATATGCCGTAAAACAAAAAACAAACCATTTTACAACCAATTTAAGGTTTTGAATATTCTTGATAAAAACTGAGATGTTTTATTGCATTTTTAGAAAATGGATCCAATTCCAAACCAGCCTGCAATTGGTGGAAGCAATACTGAAGAGAGTCTGTCTTCTAGTTCAACAACTTCAGTGGCTGCCATGACAACAATGATGTCAGCAACAATAACCACAACAACAACAACTCTAACAGCTGCTACAACCACGACGACAACAACTACCACTACCACCATGGCCACAGTGCCGCCTTCCCTTGTACAGAGTGTCAGCAAGGAGGCTCCCACACAGGCAAAACAACCCAAAAAAAATAAAACCACAGTGAAAGAAACTCCAGCAATAGGTAAGAATTTGGATGGGAATTTATTGTGTATAAATTCTGAAAATAAATTTTTGTCTAATTAAGTGGATGAATTAAGAACAGTAATTTATTTAAAAAAAAAAAAAAAAATTAAATTAGTCTTTGTGGAAAAGGGTCGAGGTTAGTTTGAGGATATTTTCCAAGAGGTTTGGTGGGTTTCTTAAAACACTCACAATTTCTAGAGCTGTGTTTTAGGCTAACAGCTTCTATTATTAATTTTACTTTTTTAAGCCCAACATTTTGGGTAGTTGCTTCTGTAAGCTTCTCTTAGTAAATGTTAGCTGTTGGAAGTCTTAATCTTTCAACTGAATATAAGGCTTGTTAACTAATCAAAATGTGTTCGGGACAAAAAAGAAGAAAAAATGCAATAAAATTTTATCTCCTTTCAAGACATTTTCAGATGATTTTATTTAGTTAGGTACCTCCACGAAATCGCTAAAAAAAAAGCATAGCTTGATGAAAAAGACGCCAACCTTGCCGAAAACAAACTTTTATTGTCTAAATGCTTATGTTATTATTAAGAGGAAAGACCAAAGTTTTTTTTTTTTTTTTTAATTATTTTAAAAAATTTTTCCTTCTTTTTAGAACATTCTAAATTTTGATTAAAAAAAAAAAACCTTGTTTCTATTTGTATCAGCGGAACTAGTAAATAACATAGACAATTTTTAGCACATTTTTTTGGAATGACACACATTAATTTGAAAAATCGTGCAAAAATAGAAATAATTGTCGGATGTTAATGAAACTTTCAGGAATTATTCACAGATGATCGAAATTATTATAAATATTTTTTTTTATTTTTTTTTTATTAAAGTCATGGTAGAAATTTTACATTTAAGTTGTTAAAATATTATAAAATTAGTTAAAAGCTGCATCGGCTTTCCTAAGTGTCCTTATGAGATAGATCTTTTTTAGCGCATTGTAAATTGTATCATTTTGACTAATCAGAAGATCCGCAGTAATTAAGAAATGTAATTTTGTGCTTATAACCGGGCTGTAATTATAAAGTACGGAAGACCAACCAGAATATAATTAAGTTGCGTTATTTGACTTAAGGATTGTTCTCCGCTGTTAAGGCCTTTACTTTTGCGAAACACGTGTGGAGAAGTTAATTTGATTTTTCAATTTCAACTGAGAAGGGTACCTACAAGTATCAGTATCATCTTATGAAATTTATATGATCTTATTTTTATATTAATCTCAGTTATGACATTTTTCCATAAATGAAATATCAAAATTAATAATAAAATGAATGCAAATACAAATAACAGTAAAATGTAATAAATGTACATAAAATTATAGTATTTTATATACACTTCTGATAAAATTTCATAAGAAAGGTACCTATAAATTAATTAGATACCTTTCTTAGGAAATATGAAATTTAATGTCACTCTTAAGTCTTATTTTAATTTCTTTAGAATATATTTTCCATAAAGCATCATAAATGTAAAGGTGAAAGCTAAGTACAAAAAAAAAAATTAGACCGCTGAAAGTTTTCGTTAAAAATAACAAGGTAAATAATTTGTTCACTTAAATGTAAATTATTTCGCTTTTCTCCTTCCGTAGAACAAATTAGCCTCATGGAATTCGTAAATATGTCATTCATCACCTGTCAAGAGACGCGAAAGTTTATGACCTGCTTTGTTTTATTTTCAAAGTACATCTTTTTGGCACAAAAGCTAAGTTAAGTTTGGTTCAAAATATTTTAAATAAACATTATAATTTCTGATTTTCTTAAAATAAGTTTTGAAAAAATGATAATTGATATTTAAAAGAATTTCAAAGTGAGATTTCCAGTTTTTTTTTTAAATGGAAAAAAATGGTCAATTTTGCCAACTCAAAAAAAACTAGATTTTTAACGAAAATTTTGGACGTGCTAGAAACGATTAAAAAATGGAAAAAAATACCCCAAAAATAATTTGATCTTTCCTCTTAATAATAACAAACATTTAGATGATAAAATTTTGTTTTCGTCAAGTTTGGCGTCTTTTTCATCATGCTATACTCTTTTTTTAGCAATCTCGTGGAGGTACCTATAGTGGATCAATCGTTGAGAAAAACAAAAAAATCTCAATCTAATTTATAATCTTTGTCACAACTAAGTGAATCCAACTCTACATAAAATATTTGTATAATTGACTAGGAAATATCAAAATTTTAATTAAAAACAAATTACTTACAATGCATTTTGTGATTTTGATACAAGTTTCACTGCACAAATCGCATACTGGATTATTGATCTATTTTATATTTGTTTTATTTTTTTACCTATATTTGGAGATATTTTTGAGCCACCCTGAGCCAATCCACCATACTGGGCAAATATAGAAAGAGATTGTCAAACAAGTTAACATATAAAATGGCTAATTGTGCCTGTGTAAATATGTGTAAACAATATTTGGCATGGCATTAATGTTTCCCTTCAATTAGCCACAATTTTCTTTCTTTTTTGTTTGACTATTTTCAGAAATAAAGAAAAAAAAGATTGTACACTTGAGGAAGAACGGAATTAATAGTCATCTGAATAACTGTTGGAACAAAAATTATGCTTTCGACAAGGTGTTAAAAAAGAAAATGAGGTTTAGAATGAGATAAGGATTTGGGGGAAAATAGAAAATTCCTGGATAAAATGCAAAAGTGTTTGCCTTTGATGGGTTGCTTCATGGATTTGGCTTGACATGAATTATCAAGTTACCTTCTCAGGTTTCTTGGGACAATGGAGTTTACTTGGTAATAATCCTCTTCTTTTCATGCAATTCCTGATTGGCATATTAAAAGAAGTAGATTTATGCCTTTACCAAGGGTGTTAGTGTGTAGGGAATACCAACTACATTAGTCAGTATCTGTCTATATTTCTGAGATGAGGTATTATGTACACTATTTACATTATTATGGCATGCGGAACTAGAACAGTCTACCCCAGTTAGCGAAATAAAGGGCTCAGTTCAACATTCCAACCACCTGAAGAAGGCCAGAGCGTACAGCAGCCAAAACGTTGTAATAAATATGGCGACAAAGATGAGGACAATAGTCCGAATAATGTAAATAGTGTTACATTAGTCAGACTTTGAACTTTTACTTTTTGTGCAATGATGGTGGATTAAAGCTGGTTGTTGGGAAATTGGTTGTCTGAATGATTGCTGAAGTTAATGTTGTTTATTTTATTTATTTATTTTTTTCCCAGACTCCAAATTATCAGGTGTGGTTCGGGAGCGTCGAGCCTCCTCTGCGTCATCTACATCAAGCTCGGGAACTGTCTCTGTGGACAGTACAGAGAAATTGAAAGGTGAGACATGTTCCTCCTCAATTTTGGTTTTTACCAGTTTTTAACCAAATAGACATCATTAACTGCTGTGGATCAATTTTATTTTTACAAATCTAATTTTAATATAACATGAATGAAAGAAAATAACACAGGTGGCAAATTTTATTTTCTCTCTCAATAATTAAAATTCTCCTCCTTTTTTTTTTTTTTTTTTGTCAATTGATTCTTCTCTTTCCTCTTTTTGAAAATCAAGTATATATTAAATTTTTTTTTTTTTTATAAATACTCAAAAAATGTCCATCATGTAAATAATTGAAAAGCTTAAATTCATAGTAAGGTTAACTCTTTCTCAACTTACATTTAATTGTAGTTTTTATTGACTGGTAAAATCTACACCAGTTACAGTATCATAACTTGTTTATGTTGGTTTTTCAATAATAAATAATTTCATGCCAAAATCTGATGATGATAATAAATGCAATCGAGCCTTGAATGAAACAAATCTAAACTTTGGGTTGATGGTTCCTCTTCATTATTTATTCTGCTAAAAGACAAAAGTCATGTTCCCTAAAATAAAACAATATGAAATCTACAATCAAAGTAAACCGTGGTGTTTTGCAATTGAACCTCACTTTTCTAAGCATTCTTTGACTTCTATGCAAACTAGTTTTATATTTTCTATCTTTTGGCCATGTTATTTTCTTCAATTTGTTTAGATTTGAAGTTTCATCTCAAGTTGACAATGGAAGCTTTTGGCTTATGATTGAAGTTTTTGTTTATTTCTAAGTCTATGTTGTATACAAATTGCAGTCTATCTAAATAACATATAACTTACAAATGCTTTTATGGGAATGTTTCCAAAGACGCAATTAAATTTAATAATGAATGCTGTTCTTTTATTATTGTCCTTTTGCTTCGATAACATTTTCTCTCTGTAACCTCTTACATCTTTAGTGGTATTATCACCTTTGTTGGGATGAAAACATTAAAAAAAAAATCAAACATTGTTGATGTAACTGTGCTAATAAAATGAAATTCTTCAACATAGGAATTTCAGATGTGATTTTGATTTGTACAAAGTTTAATGCAGTGTCTAAAGAATAGATTGGCTAAATATGTTTTGATTTGAGTTGGTAAATAAGTTGAACTTTTTGAAATTAGTGAAATGTCATCATAAAAATGCTTTATTAAAGGTTTTATTTGTAATTAACAGCTAAAAATGATGGTGACTTTTGATGAAGCAATAGAAATCTTGTGCCAAATCAAAAATAATGAAAGCTGATTTTTTTTGGCTGATGGAATGTTTATTTTGCAATTTGGGTTCTTGAAAAAAGGGGAAAAAAAAAGACACTATCAAATTGTCTTTGTCAAGAAAAATGCATGTTTATATATTCACAAGGATCTTTCATCCATAAAGAAAAATTTTGAATATTGAACAATTTGTTAGAAAAATGAAACAAATATTTAAAAAGAAAAAGTTGATCAAATTCTTTGTTAGAGCCTTTTAGAACTTTTTTCACATTTTTCTTCTATGTTTTTTACCTGTTTAAGGACTTTACTGTTATTCTGTTGATAATTTGGTACTTTTATCCATTTTCATTGTCTGTTGATATATAAGAGAGCAGTACCTATCCTTTTATCTTATTTGTCTGCCTTTCAGAGGTGACAAAAACATAGTCTTTTTTTGTCTCGTTTCAATATTCTCAGTTAATAGGAATGGCACATGTTGAATGTGGATAGAAATGAGGTTTATTAGTAGGCATTTTGTTGTACGAGTGAGCATTCTGTTAATTGCTTATTTGAGTCATCTCGGATAGCTGATATTGGTTACCCATCTATGGAGAATTCCAAGCCACACTTTGGTAATGTGTCTAACCTGTCAGCCCTTCCCTCTAAGAAGAGAATGTAAATGAAGTTGCAGCAACTGTAAGATATTTAGAAGTAGATATGTTTTCTCAGAGATTATCAATAAATTTTATACAAATCTGGATTCACTCTTGAGCAAAGCATGAATCCAATTAACCGTCCTCTGGTAATACCAAGAAGATGCAACCATAAAAAAGAACTTGGAGAACCTTGTAATTAAGACAAAGCAAAATAAGTAAGTTTAATTATTTATTGCTGCTTCTGTCTGGACCATTTAAGATTGTTATAGGAGAGTGGTTTGTTTAAAGCAGTGGTTCTCAAATGGTGCTACATGCCTCATAGGTGCAGAGGAGGAGGAGGATAGCAGGTGAGGCAAAATGATTGAAAGACAAAGATTTAGAAACAGTTTCAAAAAATTCATATGCCAAAAATGAATAAAAATTTAAAATATTATGGATTACTTGTAATTGCAGTTATGAGTCCCAGTATAAATAGTTATAAATAATTATTGACTGATTTTATCATTGTGATATTTTTGCATTATATCAAGTATTAAAAATATATTAACTAGGCTCTACAAATTGGAGGAGAGTTATCAATGATCATGTTTTGACTTTGAATCTGCAGTTATCTCCCTTTAAGCTTTTTTTTTTTTTTTTTTTTTTTTTTTTTTTAATGTACTTTTTATCATGTAAAATTTGTTGAGACATGAGCAAATTTTTATTCTAAAAATGTGGCACAGAAAAAAAATTTTGGGAACCACTGGTTTAAAGTGTCGCTTATCCACTCTTTTAACTGTCAACATCATAATGTGTCTGGGATAAGATATGTCATTTGCTGATTGGGTAGATCACAGAAACAAAGGAGTTTGTTTTTCCCATTAGTATGAAATTAGACACTAGTAGATTTGACAAGACATAAATAAGTCAGTATGTCATGAAACAAGGTTTGTAATCTGAACTTTAAATCTGCATTTAAAATCTAGAAAAGAATCATCCCAGTGAGAGTCTTTTTTTTTTTTTTTTTTTTTTTAGAAATCTCATTTGGCACTTGATAAAGACCATTTTATATATATATATATATATATATATATATGGAATCAGTATGCAATAAAGGTACATTCATAATCATTTGATGATTGTGTGATGATGATGATGGCTTTGGTGTTGTTTCTTTCATCTGCAGCCCCATCAGCAAAGACTACTACTACTACCACCACCACCACGACTTCAAAAGAACCCAAGGAAAGTAAAGATCACAAAGACTTCCCCAAAGCTAGTGAGCCCAAAGAGGAAAGTGCTACAAAACCTGTCCCTAAGCCCCAAGGAAGTACTTCTGGTATTCCATCCATTCCTTCCTTCCTGTTTACCCCGCCTGTTGTTTTTTCTTTCTTTTAATTTTATTTGTACCAGAAATTTTGGTATCTAACTGTAAAACTATTTTATTCCTTTCAGCTGTATCATGTTTTTTTATATATATATATATATATATATATATATAATATGTGTATATATATATATATATATATATATATATATATATATATATATATATATTTATTAAAGACATTTTTATTTATGTTTAACGTTGTTATTTTATAGATACAAGTATTTAATAGAAAATATTCTGTTTAAGATAAAAATTAAATAACATTCAGGCCGTAAATGTTATTTAATACTGTTTATCTTAAAAGAGCATTTGCTTAAATACTTGTATCTATAAAATAACAACGTTAAACATAAATAAAATGTCTTTAATAAATAAATTGTCGGACCTTGTCCATTTCTTAACATATATATATATATATATATATATATATATATATAATCTCCTTTAAAAATTAGGAGATCAGTTGATTTCGCTACCTTGGTTTCAACCTTATAGTATTTTTAGCAACAATACTAGACAAAATGTCAGAAATTTCAAAACTAATGTAGCAAAATATAGTTAACACTAGTAATTTATGCAACTATAGAAATAAGAATAAATGTCTGTTAGATGGAGCTTGTAAAACTGGAGCAATAATCTAAAAAACAGAAGTTATAGATATTAATGGTCAGAATAAAACATATATAGGACGTAATGAAGGTACTTTCAAATGAAGATGGTACAATCATAGGTTATCATTCAAGCTAGTAAGTCTCAGGAGCTCGACCAAACTAGCTGACCATGTGTAAAATTTAAAAGAAGAAAATGGCAGGGATCTGATTTGTAAGATGGAAAATTTTAAAAAAGGCAAATCCTTACAACAATAAAATTTGCAACCTTTGCCAACAGAAAAATTAGCAATAATGACATTTTTGAATGCAAAAAACTTTTTTTAACCAAAGATCTGATCTTATGAGACATTGCATTCATAGAAAAAAATTCCTCTTAATCTCATATGGGGCTGGTTAAAAAAAAAAAAAAAGTATGTACATTTCACCCCCCCCCAACCAATACCCTTGCTTTTCTCCTCTTCCCTTCTTCGTATCCGCCTCCTAACTTTCTATCACAACCAACACTCTGTGTTTGTTTATTTATTTAAAAAAAAATATAGCATTCATTTTTTTTTTTCTTTTTAAGTAAAGCGTTGGAAGTCAACTGATTTCCTAATTTTTAAAGTTAAAAGCTTTACATGTTATTTTTTATTTTTTTTTTTTTTTACACTGTTTAATACTATTGTTCCCTGGTACAATTCAACCCCGATCATTAACCTTTTCTGCAATATACAGTGTAACCCAGATATAAGAGAGTTGTCGGGACCAGAGAAGTCGTCTCTTATATCCGGGTTTGGTCTATTATATATACATTAACACAGGCTCTAATTTGGGACCAGAGAAAATCTCTCTTATATCCGGTTTCACTATATATATATATATATATATATATATATATATATATATATATATATATATATAAAGTGGAGACTTTAGAAACCTATGGGTTTCTAAAGTCTCTGCTTTCATAATTATCATTTACTCTGTTCTTACATTGAGCTCTCTCTGGATCATCTTTGGAATTATCCATATGGATTACCAAATAATATTATCTATATATGAGCCCTAGAAATTGTCCTTCATTATAAAGCAGGGATGAAAAAGATGATTTGGTATATAAAGTATCTCTCTGACATGGAATATAATTTGGTAGCTTGTTGGATCACTTGAGACTAGTACTGATGTTTATAACAGGAAAAGCTTAAGCATAGAAATCTCAGAATTCAATATCTCAAAATTAAATTTTGCTAATTTTATTTAAACAAAATATAGAAAAGAAAATGAATTTCCAAAATTCATCTAGAATATTTCTCTACAGCATATATTCATATATTATTTTGTTGGCATTATGGAGGGTCAAAGAGGAATTTACTTTTCTGGCATAAGGTCCAAATAGAGAAACAGCAGACATTAGCATGGACAGACCAGTTGAACCAGCACCAATAAAGTATGAATTTTATTTGTTTAGAGAAGAAAGAATTCAAAAGCAACTACATGCATTAAAAAAAAATCACTTGTATTACATAACTTACAGTGAATGATTTGGTCTGATTTCTTTGAAAGTTAATTATAACCTTTCCTAATGTTATAATAAACATCAGTTCACATGTTGCAAACTGGAGATTGATGTTTGTAACTTTGTCCCAACAATGTAAGCTTTGTTATGCAATTAAAAGAAAATCATTTAAACTTTCAATAAATACTTTTAATAAAAGTAATTAACTTTCATAGCTGTATTAAACTGATGTTTTGTTTTTGTTTTTTTTTAAACATTCTGTACAGATTACTGGAGTCTAATAGTGCAAGAAGAAAGTAAATTCCTGCGTTTTACTAACAGATTAATAAGGAGTTACAAAAAAAGGTTTTGTTTACTAAGTTTAGTTCCATGATTGGATTTAAAAATTTTCAGAGCATGAAATGAAAATAACTTCAAGGAACTTGATAGACACAGATTTTTTCCAATTGACTTTAGACAGGACATTTTCAAGTTTTGAAATAATTTATTTTCCTTGTTGACTGTGTTTTGTATTTTGTAGCTGATTCTTATTTTATTGTGATTAAGACTTGATTTTTTTTGTTTTTATTTTGCTCTATCCCAGCATGCCTTTTTGTTTAGCATGGTTGTTGTTGATGGTCATTATATCTCTCTTGGAAAATAAGTGTTTATTATCCGTTCCAGTTTGATGTCTGCTTTAAATGCTGGATAAAAAGATATTTTAATTTATTATAGTTAAATGAAAAGAAATTAATCTCTTTCAAGTATGGGTTGTGTCTCTAGTTGAACACAGCAAGAATTATGCGTTTTGTATTGACACAAAGGAAATTAGGGTTTTATAAGTTCTACATTATTAGACAAAAAAATGCAAAAATAACATTGCAAAGACAAGGATGTAAGTTTCAAAGAAGTATTTTGTAATAAGGTTTTTTCCAAAAATTCAGGCAAAAATTGCGTGAGATGTCATGGATTATATTCAAATCCCTTTTTATTCTTAAATATAATTTAATATCTATTTAGAACATTCTTTCATATTTCATTTTTATATTTTGTAAATTGCTCAAATTTATTTTTAAGTTATTGGTTTGTAAGGACAGTTGTTAAAGAATAAATTTCTGCAATACTTATTACCATTTTATATTTTTCTCTGTTAGGTAATTTTTATTGCCATTGAGTTTGTTTATAATATAATAAAATGTTTAAAGAAGTGCCAAAAAATTAGAGACCAATAAATTGGATGGTTTAAAGTGGGCTTAGCTTAGATGTGTGATGTAATAGTTAAAGAAGTAGTATAGCTGTAACAATTGAGGGATGGTGAGGATAGGATTTAATGTTATTTGATGGGAGAATGGTTGTTACCACCTTAAAAAAGATGAAGCTATTTTTATCTTTGAGGTGACAATCAAGGAGAACCAGGTGTATATGAATTCCAGACAGATATCAGTGTCATGTAAAAACTATGGATACTCACAGTTGATGTAAAAAATGGGATAACTGACAAGAATGGTAATCACCTAACAAAGAGAAATATTTTGTTAAATCGTAACCAAATTCAATATTTGCACTGTTCAACCTATCAGTCAGCATCAGTGCCAAGTGTAACCTATTCCAAGCAGTTTTATAGTCATTGATCAATAAGGGTATCATTATAGACATGTTCATATAAAACCACCATTGGTCCATGGAAGACTGGTAGTATGTAGCCTGTTTAGAGGAGGTTGTATTTTCAGCTCTTTCAGGTTAGCAGAAGAATTGGTGTATAAAGGAGACTGCATGAGGTATCAGCAGGGCATTTGTGCAAACTGGGGGTGGTGCTAGCTCTGAAATGGAGTATAGTGTGTGACCTCTGGTAGTTCGCAACAACCACAAATGAATGTCATGTGCAGAGGACACAAAACCAGGAACACTTGTCTGACTTTAGGTATTACATTGGATCCAGCACTCACCAGATTTAGACCCCATTGAGCATGTATGGGATATAATCCAAATCTTTGTAAATTCCATGTAGCCTTAACCAACAAACACAGCTTTGTTATGGACAGACCTGCGATAGATCCACATGTATACAACATGTCCAGCAGCTTGGAGACTTCATGTCAGGTATTCAGTTGAAGAAATGTGTAATATGTTTTGAAGTAACTCTAATGTTTTGGCATTTTATATAGAATACTGAAAATTTTCATTATTTTTCTTTTTCTAACGTTTCTTTTTTTTTTCTTTTTTTTTGATATCAGAAAAGAAAAGAGATTCTTCTATGGCAGAAAGTTCTAAAAAAGAGGGAAAGAAGAAAGAAAAGTCAAATGTGTTTCCAAACAAACGGCGACAAAGGCTGATTGTAGCTGGTGCCTTTCTTGCCAAGCGGGATATAAAGAAGAAATCCCCACCTGTGTCAACTTCCAAACAATCCCTGACAAAATTCAAAGCACCAACAGGGAAATCGAAGCTTTTAGCAGAGGTAAGAGTGGCACACTCTTCTATTTTATACATACACTTTGGACGCCCCCCACCCCTTCCTCCAATAGTTCAATGGCCAGCAGATGAATTTGCTAGTGTACTACTAATTTGTTGATTTTTATAGAGTCCTCCAGTACAAAAAAATAACTGTGTGTGTTACTCAAAATTTAAGCAGTGTATACAAATCAAACCTAGTAAAGATTGTTACTGCTAGCCTTTAGAAGCCACTATTTTATAGCACATACCCAAAGAAGATGGCTATAGAAATTTGGTGCTTGTGTAAGTAATTTTTGTTTATCAAATTTCTTGAACTTTTCAGTTGTACCTTGTGCCTGTTTTAGCAAATAATAGTAAGCTCATCTTGCACAACAAGTTGCTATTATAGCAAGTTTTGATCACATTGGGTGTTCTGTTATTGTCCTTGTGCCAGACTAAAGCTAATGTTAGTAAATAACTTTTTTCAGACGAAGCTTGTAGGACTCTTAGTATTTTAGATATTGAAACAAATATGGGAAAATATTAAAATGACTATTGCTTATTGTATTAAACAAAATCTACATGAAGAAAATGACGATGATAATTGAAATGCAAATCAATAGATTCAATTATGCATTTGACCCTCTGCATGTGTATGTGAACAATTATCCTTGCCTTTGTAGGACTGCAGCAGTTTGGGATTATGGATGTAAAGATATACAAAGTGAAGCACAGTCAGAATTGAAACTTGTACAATGTGTTTTGTAAAGGAAATCCTTTCTGGAATCTTCAGATTAATTTATTTAGACCAGTGGTTGCCAAATTTTTGATTCGTCCACAGAAAAATTGTTATGAAGCTTCAGGGTCAAAAATGATGAGTAACAAAACGTATTATGGATATATGTATATATGTTCAAGACGTTATGTAATCTTGAAATAAACACAACTACACAAATGTGACATCATCCAGCCATAGTATAACCTTGCAAAGTCATGTTTAGTACTTGTTACTGAATAATTTCTTATCATTACTGTTGATAATTAGTTGCTGGATAATTTACTAGTATAGTTTTCTACAAACTAGCAATAATAGCGGAATCTTCAAGAATCGGCTTACGAATCAGATACAAATTCATAAGTATTCGTGCCCAAAAACTATTTTTGCAAAATATTTAAAAAAAAAAAAAAACAAACAACAAAAAAAAAAACAACTTTTTAGTGGACTTGAATAAACTTAAAATTTTCAGTTTGTTTTATTTAACTAATTACACTATAACTTTGTTACTTTTAATGGGTGCATTTCATATTAATAAATTATTATATAAATATATTTACCTTTTTTTTTCTAAATTCATATTAGTGGTCCACCAAATTTAAAATACATTTAGTGGTCCATAAAGTTCAAAAAGTTGGCAACAACTGATTTAGACTATTTTTCTTTGTTCTGTGAAAGGCTGAATAATGGCAGAATAATTTCTTCTGTTTTGAGCTCAACTCATTTGAGTAAGTAGCCGTGTGTGTGTGTGTGTGTGTTGACTTCCCCTTATGGAATACACTGTTGTAACCAAGAAAGGGTTACTGAATGAGGAATAACCAAAACGGTAGTTGGAAATGAAATGGTAATCTTTATAACATCAACAAAATGTCAGTGGCATGAAGTAGGTAAACCACTGCTAGTGGTGGACTACTGAGATAACATATTACCCCCCCTCCCATTTACAATAAAGCAATACTTTTTTGAAAAAACTTATTACCAGCAATACAATTTTGAAGGAAAAGTATTACTAGAAACAGATTTTTGACAAAACAAAATATTACCAGCAATAAAAATTTTTGTCAACATTAAATAACCCATTGAGGTTGATATGCCGTAAAACAAAATAAACCAAACCAATCTAAAGCAAAGAATACATATTCTATTCATACAAATCTATCCTAAAAATGTTGTCGGCATTAAATAACCCATTGAGGTCGATATACCATAAAACAAAATAAACCAAACCCATTTACAATAGTGTCCAGCATATTTATGAGGATTAAGATGTACCCATTATTAGTGTTCATATAACACAGACACAGAAATGTTTTTCATCCTGATCTGTCATTTTTATTGCTTTTTCTAATTGTTTATTTTCTGATGCAGAATGAGAAAAAAGAGGAAAAGTCAATTGAAAAGAAGACAACTGCAGAAAAAAGGGCTGCAAGTGATAAGAAATTATTGTCATCATCATCATCTCCCTCATCCTCGTCATCATCATCACCCTTGTTATCAACGTCAGCGCCATCAAACACAACAGCAGCATCTTTGACTGCACGGAACACGGTCAAAGATCCAGTTTTGGCCCTCAGCAAAGTGAGATTTGATACTGACCGCCCAGTGAGTGAGATGAAAGAGTTGGAAAAGGCATTGACAATTGGTTTCCTTCCTAACTCTCAACCTGGGATGGCTCCGCTCTCCAGCACTGTCACGCCGTCAATGGCCACCTTCTGTAAGTTGCCTGCTTCAACAACATCACTGCGTCATAGTCCCATCACAAACACAGGCATTACGAAATTAACGGGCGAGAAGTTTCGCCTCAAGCCAGGTGAGCATTTTGTTCTTTGTATAATGAGTGTTATCAGTTCATTTTAGTAAAAAAGAACTTAGTTAATTCTAAGAGATGTTTGTACATTTGCTTGTGAGTTCAATCCCTGGGCCGGGCAGTGGGTACTTGATTTAGTAGAAATATTCCTGGACATGGTCAGTGGAAGAACAACAACTTACCTAGATTGACAATCACCTGATGAAGGCCAGAGTGCACAGTGGTCAAAACAATGGGGGATAATATTCCACGTGTAAATAGTGATGATGTTGCTTGTATAGCAAAGATTTAATTTAATTTTCCCATAATCTAACAGGAGAGAAAATAAGACACACACACCAATAGATATGTGTACATAAATATCATATAATTATGTGTATTCCTTTGTTCATTAGTTTGTTAGCATGTATGTCACATCCTGTGAATACCTAAACAAAAGTAATGGACTATTCAGTTTTGAGAAAAGATAGAAAAGTTTGGCTTGATTGAGGAAAAGCAAAAAAAAAAAAAAGAGAGAGAAAACAGAGGATACCATTATCATGTATTTAACATTATTAATTGAAATGCCACAATTTTGTATTTTCATACAAAATAAATAGATGTGTTTCATTGAAATGGACAGATGAACACTGCATTTAAAATAATCAATAAGAGGAATTTTCTCTATGACTACTGTGTAATGAAAGCCTGACATAATAATGATGTCATCATTCCATCATAGTACATCCTCCTTTTTTTTGTATTTCTTTGTTGTTTTCTTTCCCTTTATTTCTCTCTGTAATGCTCGGGATTTTAAAAAAAGCTTTTCTATAAATTTTTGGCTGTGAAAGAAACCTGTACTAATAAAATTGTAATGATTAAAGACTGAAAGTAAGTAACATCCATCTTTTGAGTATCTCCACCAAGGTTGGATCTGAATTGACCAACAGTCTGTATTTAAAATGTTTATGGAAGCCTCTGAAGAAGAGCCATGTTAGTGAGGGAATTTAAATTTCAACTAGCTTTCACCATTTAAAAATCAAATAATTAAGTTGAAAAAAAATTTAATTTTCATGCTGTGTGTGTATGTGTGTATACATGTAGTGTAGTAGTTATGACCTCTGAAATTGGGAGCTGTGATTGCTGCATTCACTTTCACACAAATACCTTTCTTCTTTCCCCTGTAGAGCAAGACTTGGTTTTCTAGTATATATATTAATATGTTAATTATGTCATGAATAAAACACTAATTTTCCAAAGTTCACAGTTTCTGGATCTCTAAGTATCTACCAACTCTCATAACACACTCATTTATTTTGCTATATTTTTGGAATTTAATATCTCCACCATTTGGTGCCATGTTCACACAATGCTAACTACCTCGACATGTATCTTTGATATTTTAATTAATGTCAGTAATTTATGTAATAATTCTTCTTACATCATTCTTTTGCTTCTTGTTTGAACTCCAGTTGCATTAGTTACATTCACTTACATGCAAATACTCTTGGGGAAAGATATCAAGTCATCATACCCCCCCTCCCCCGCAGTTAGGGGTTAAGCAGTAGGTCTTGTATCTGTAAAAATCATTAGCCCTGGCAGCAGGGCTTCAGAATATACCGATTGCACCTCTGCAGGGAGTAAAAGTGTCTCAAGAGGACCACTTGTTTGCTGTGGACAGCAACTTGTGATATCTGGAGATGGAATCCTGGTGGATGAACAGGTCAGGACACAGGTGTAAACAAGTCATGCACTGCAACTCCCCACTTTGGCCCTTACCTGGGCTAGACGGATGGTCAGAGAAGACTGAGCCGCCTAATCGGCTAGTCATGTCAAGCCCTAATACAAATCGCATGTATGCAAAACCACTTCAAACCTATTCGATAATTGAAAACAGACCAACAAATACTTACGTGAACATAAATGGAAAAATTTGGATTAGAAGGTGGTAACAAAGGGTCAATCTGTATTTGAGGAAAAAGTAATGACAATATGAAGTCAATACAAATGTTAAACTAAAACCTTGGATAGAGTTACTGAGGAACTCCTATAGGCTCAGCACTACCACTTATACAGAGTATTATGTCTGAATATCTTTGACCATGAATGGGTTTCCCCTTTGATAGGTCCCCCTCATGGGGCTCCAAGGTGAGTGGGAGCACGGACAAAGAAACGTATAATATATCCTGCATGGCAAATCTTAAAAATCCCAAGAACCAAACATCGACCAAAGTCTAGTTGACAAAGGAACCAAGAGATGTTTTTTCCGAGTCTGACTCATGTGAGGAAGATACAAATTATACATTCTCTGAATACACAGTATTAGAATCAATAGAGGAAGCCCCATGAGCAATGTTATCCCCATTCATCATTGAGAGCACAATATCCTCAAACTTCCATACTAAACTAATCAAAAAATTAAAATTGATTCAAGTAGAAAAAAATGACATGCTGAAAAGCTGCTTTCTTGGACAAAGTTCTACAACATAAATATTAAGACATACTCCCTGACCAAAATCTTAATACCTTCAAAGGAATAATCAAAATTCCTGACTTAGCCACATGTTCCCCCGGAGGGAATTAAAAACAACCTAAAAGAACAAAAAGTCCTGGATATTAAAATGAACACAAACACATATATACTAATCTTCAAGCACCTATATACTAACCAAAGTACCTACAGAAATTAAAGCAGAGTATATAAATATTAAAGAAGAAACTTACATTCCCAGACCATTCCACTATCCAAATTGTCATAAATTTGGCCATCACAAAGACCACTGCACCAGGGCATCAATATGTCCAAGATGCAGCAGCTATGAACACTAAGGACTCACATGCAATGAACAGGTGAAATGCACCAACTGTGGAAAGGACCACCCTGCATATTCAACCCTCTGCAAAACTTGGATAAGGGGAAAAAAATAAATGAAATCAAATACACAAGGAACATTACCTTTCCAGAAGCAAGGAAAATCATGGAGTCCCTTCTTGAAAATCCACAAATCAGTACTTATGCAAATATAACCAAAATACATCAGCAAAAGGAAGAAAGCTCTGAAATGAAGGAAGTCTCTACTCTAATCAAGGAATTAAGAACACTAATTGAAGCTCTGAAAACCTAAATAAAATACACCCCAACACTTCGAACAAAATAAGGAAATTACACCCAGGCAGAAAGCCCAAACACCCCCAAAATTGATAAGATAATGAACAAAGAACACATGGAAAATAAACCAACAAAGACCTCCACCAAAGGAAATTCATTCATAGAAGAACAAAAAGTCCAAAACAAAAATCAACCAACTAACTCCAATGCACAATCGGTTCACACCACTGAATGAAACTGTTTCAGGATCAACAGAAAACAAACATAAATTTCTAAATAATAGTAAAATGCTGAAGAAAAGATAAACGAAAAAAGAAACCCCAAGACCAAAAGATAGAAGTTGATCAAATCAATGGTCTACATCCAAAAATAGAACCAAAAACAAATTCCTCCTGAATTAAAAAAAAAAAAAAAAAAACAACAAACAGAAAACCAAAAGAAAGTCCTTCACCAAATAAAATGGAAACAGTGGACTTGCCCCTTAAAATAACAAGCAACATATAAACCGACAGTATCCACAAATTAAACCTCTTACAACAGTATAGCAGAAGGAACAAAAAGAACAAACTATATAACATGATATGGAAAAAAAAAGACGTTTTGCAATGGAACTGTTGAGGCATTAAGGCAAACTATGAAGAAATTGAAAATCTTATTATAGGCTATAAGCCAAATATTGTCTCTGCCTTCAAGAAACATACATTAAAGAATCGGACAATATTTCTTTTAAAGGATATGACATATATAGCAAAACCAACAGGTCAACGACAAGCAATAGATCAATTAGTGTCTCTTCAATTCTTATTAAAAAATGAATACCTCATGAGGTACTTTAACTAAACACCAACCTACAGGCAATAGCAGTAAAAGCTACACTCCACCACACAATAACTACATGCTCAATATATATTCCCCTAAAATATAAATTAAAGATGAGATAAAGGATTTTATAAACCAATTTCAGACACCTTTCCTATTAGTGGGAGACTTCACTGCCCATAGTGAAATCTGGGTTTGTAACAATTCGAATCAGTGGAAAAATTGTAGAAAGTATACTTGAAACAACAAATTTATGTATTCTAAACAATAAATCCTGCAAATGAATACCAATATAAATTTGGAGAACATAGAGCGATCTATACAGACGGGGTCTAAAGATAAGAATAAAACTGGAACAGTAGCCAGCAACAGATATAAACATAAAGAAATA